CATATTCATAGTCATGCGCAGATAGGGTTGAAACATGTACAGGTTGCACGGTATTTATAGTGGTCATCTGCGTGCGTACGATGATTATCCCCTTCTGTAGCCACTGCTTGGGTCTTAATCGGTGCGGTACTGGCTTGACACTTCGCGTTCTGCTCACTAATTGCCACAGTTGTCTTGTCCGCGTTGGATGTGGGTTTGATAATTGCGCGACAATTGTGCCCGCTGTCGTCGGAGTTGTTGTTGCACCCAGTCCTTCCCACGTGACTGATTCTGTTGCTCAGGAAATGTCTCAGTACATGTTGGGAAAAGCTAAATCGTTGCGCGTCTTGACGGACTGGGGGCCTGAGAACCATGACTCTGGCTGTAGCATAGGGCCTGTATCCCATAAATACTGCAACCCTCTGTGAATGTATTACCCATTTCTGCTTTTGTCTCTGATGTTGGATCCGCGATGGACTTCGAAATCTCAGGCGAATAGAGTCTTGTTCCATCGATCACTTCTTCTTCTTCTTCTTCTTCTTCTTCTTCTCAATTACTTCCCAGGACTCGCATATTCGCTTGTATTGACAGTTGCGATCGCCGAACGTTCATAAAGGCGTGTCAGTATTGCCCAACCTGAACCGGCAAGACAACGAGCTCGTAGCTCAATGGTTAGTGTGTTTGACGTCTGATCAAAAGGTTACGAGTTCGAGCCTCGGGTGGTGCACCGCTTGGGGTTGGTTACGGTTAGCTGACGACGGCTAATAACCCGGAAATGGTTATTCTCAAAACATAATCTTACTGACAGTACCTGATTTACGTAGAGCGGGTCGGGCCTTTCTCTAGGAGGATCGCTTCCATCGTGTTGGACAAGAAGGACACTAATTTATGATCCAAAACATGGAATCTTCTGTACTCAGTTGACACAGATCGCGCCTCACCCCCTGCGTATTGAGCTTCCTTAACACTTGAACTGCTTAGGATCTCTCAGTGGTGTTTATGTTCATGATTGCAGGCCTTTTTGTTTGTTGTCTCCTTTCAGTCGCATGCTGCACTATGATCATGATCTTATTGCGCATTGCAGACTAGCGATCGAGGTTTGCGACAACCGCACCATTTTCCGGCGCGGTTTATCAGGCCTGACCTTTCGTCAGTCATGAACATGCGCGCCATAGACTTAGCCCATGTAACACTTAATCACGTGACCAATTCTGGGCTTTTAATTTGCTCATGCTGGTGAGAAGATGTCAGACGCGCGCGAACATCTCTCCACCAGTCAGGCGTCCCCGAAGAGACTTCTTATCCTGACGCACAAGCAAACTGGCAACTCAGGACAAACTGTCCGGTGGCGTGTGTGGAATAAGTCGGCTGTCGCCGCTCTTTTTTATTTCTTTCATCAGACGGGAAGAGTTTATTCCGTGGTTGAGCTGTTTATCCTGGACCGCCACAGCTTCTCAATGCGCTTCTGTTGGTTACAATCCACCGTTGCTTGTTCTTCCTTCATGAGACCTCCGTTCCGTGTGCATCGATCAGAGCCTAACGATGAGAGCTTGTGAACTGAGGCAGTGTCCATCTAATGGCAATTGTAATTTCTTTTGTCATTTTGATCATTGTGAGCCACTGCGTGTGTGCCCCACAGATGATGACCTAATTGTAAAGTAGTTTATAGTCGAGCAGACTTGCACGGCATCTATCAAACTCTCGCTTCCTTCACACATTTTGTTCCGATAGCAAGCCAGTGTCAAGACGAGATGAGGCGTGCCAGGGCGCAGCAACTGAAAGCGCTAAGCGATCCGTCCACGTGT